ATTATTTTACTAGTTTTTTAACGTCGTGTAACACAATCATTGCCTTATTTATCTACTGAAATCCATTTAAAAAAAAAAAAAACACGTTATGGAAACTAAGGCAATTAATATTATTATTATTATTATTAATATTATTTCATATAAATTGTGCAAGAAGAATGAATGACAAATGAGCTCCCCAAAAAAAAAAAAAAAAATCTGAAACACATTATTGAGCCAAATTAATCAACGTTTATAAAATTATACTCTCTTTCTTTTATTATTATTATTATTATTATTATTTTATACGGAGGGATTTCAGATTAGAAACGCTATTTAAATTTACTCTTTCATTTAGACCGGTAGAATCACCACGGTGGTCATAATAAAATAATAGTAATAATAATAATAATAATAATAATTTCCCCTCATTTATATAAACCGAAACATTCGGCCGTCGTATGAAGGTTATCACGTTGTTTTTGTTTTTCTTGTTGTTAGATTTAATCGGATTTTATTTTTACGTTTGTTCGTTTGTTTGATTTTCACTTTTTAATTTTATTGAAAGTTGAGGTAATGGGGGAAAAAAAATAAATGATAATAATAGTAAGGTTTAAGATAAATGAAAATTTTCTGACGGTGTCGAATTTAATTCTGTTTCACATTTTGATGTCGTTAAAAATGACAGTGGTCGATCGTATATTGTTTTCATCTTAAATAAAATCATCATTATCATCATCATTACCATTACTTTTTTTTTTGGACAAAGTGAACGAGTGTGCGTTATCCGTTACACATATATATAAATAGTTTTACGAAAAGTTGTTTTTTGTATTTTAAACAAAAAAAAAAAAAAAAGAAGCCTAAATCTTTTTTGTTTGTTGTTGTTGTTGTTGTGAGATTGTTCTACTTTCACTGAATGTACAATGCCGTCCTTACAAACCACAAGTTGTGTGGTCAATTAGTTTCAGAGCGTATTTATATTTCGTTGACCAATTTTTTTTTTTCTCTCTTTTTCTGAATAAATTTTCGTGGCGACGAATTTAAATTTCGTTACGTAATAATTTCTAAAACTTCCTTCGTTTTGCACATAAGAAAATATTATTATTGTCTTTTTTTTAAAAAAAATTGGAATGGGGAGTGAGGGAGAGGGGGAAAGACGGTTTTTAGTGTCGTCTGCAGTCGAATTAGCGACAATCCATCCGGTTTAATTGTTTTCCCGTCGGGTTTCCTGTCGTTTTAACGCCGTCGCATAATATTTCATCGGTTATTTTTATTTGTTTAAATTTAAATTGTTTAAATAATACTAAAAAAAAAAAAAAATTCTTTCACTCAATCTTAACCTTAATGATTGTGTGTTTTTCTCTCTCTCTCTCTCTCTCTCTCTCTCATTTAACACTCGAGTGAAAGTGATGGATCTATTGTGATGTGTAATTAAATTATTTTGAAAAAAAAAACAAAACAAAACATAAAACATATGAGCAGGCTTAAATGTTTTTAAACACTATAAATCCATTCAAAAATTCAATTGCGTGTTTTTATTATTATTATTATTATTTGGAAAAAAGACGTTTCGTGGTGTTTTTTTGTTGTTGAAAAAGTTCGAATGCGTTTTTCATTGTCGTGTGACATTGTAAATAATAACGAATTGGAAACATTTATTGTTTTCGTTTTAACAGGAAAACGACATTTTTTTGTTTTTTTG